CAACTGGCAGACTCGTAGAATGACAAAGGTCCTAGACTCACAGATTAACATATTACTCTTCTCCCAATTGTTCCTGGGCTCAGAAAGGAAATCAATACGTTCATTAAAGGGTCTTGAACTACACACCTGTTTGCCTGTATGGCAGTTCATTATAGATGTCAGATATAGTTTATAGTTTAATTCCAATTCTTCTTCTCCTTCCTGACCTTCTCCTCTCCTTTCATTAGAACTGCAGTGGACAAATAGCCAAGCGATAAAACTGACACCGGGAAATGCTTCTATAGAAAGAAAATGCAAAGAGCAGGAAAGAGGAAACTAATCAGCAACCAGAGCAAACAAGCACAAAGTGCCATGCAGGAGATGGAATTAGGCCTACCTTTGACTACGAAGAGACAGCGTCAGCACTGTGTGGCATGACAGTGACTTGTGCGTTTCCTCCAGCCGTGCGGTCACATAAAATGGAAATGTCTCCTTGAGGTCAAATTTGACTCAGGGTGACTTCATGGCCAGGCCCTCGCTTCGGTAACCACAAGGAAGTAGTTTGGCAACGGCCTTTCCCCAGATTTCCACCATAAACTCACAGCTAGTGTAAGTGTAAATGTTACCTAGAATCAAATCTTTTTATAGCTTGGGGTCAGTTAAGCTATCTTTGAAGGCAAGTCCCTCCTAAAATGTTTTTAAGATTCCTAAAATTCCTTTCTAGTTCTCTCCATCATCACTGAGTGGAGTGGAGTGGAGTGGAGTGGAGTGGAGTGGAGTGGGGTGGGGTGGAGTGGAAGAGAAGAGAAGAGAAGAGAAGAGAAGAGAAGAGAAGAGAAGAGAAGAGAAGAGAAAGTAGAGTGGAGTAGAATAGAAAACAGAAAGAATGGAATGGAATGGAATAGAATAGAATTGAATAGAATAGAATAGAAAACAGAAAGAACAGAATAGAGTAGAGTAGACTAGAAAACAGAAAGAAGAGAAGAGAAGAGAAAAGAAGAGAAGAGAAGAGGATTTGGAAGGGACCTTGAAGGTCTTCTAGTCCAACCCTCTGCTCAGCCAGGAAACCCTATACCAAGGATCTCCAAACTTAGCAACTTTAAGACTTGTGGACTTCAACTCCCAGGAATTCCCCAGCCAGCATGGAGATGAAGTCCACAAGTCTCAAAGTTGCCAAGTTTGAAGACCCTTGCCCTATACCATTTCAGACAAATGGTTATCCAATCTCTTCTTAAAAGCATTCACAACTTCTGGAGACAAGTTGTTCCACTGGTTAATTGTTCTGTCAGGAAATTTCTTCTTGGTTCTAAATTGCTTCTCTCCTTGATTAGTTTCCACCCATTGCTTCTTGTCCTCCCTTCAGGTGCTTTGGAGAATAGCTTGACTGCCTCTTCTTTGGGGCAACCCCTGAGATATTGGAACGCTGCTATCATGTCACTCCTAGTCCTTCTTTTCATCAAACTAGACATACCCAATTCCTGCAACCAAACCGTTCTTTATATGTTTTAGCCTCCGATTCCCCATATCATCTTGGTTGCTTTTCTCTGCACTCTTTCTAGACATCTAAAAAACATCTTTTTTATATCGTGGGGACCAAAACTGGATGCAGTATATTGCAAGTGTGGCCTTACCACACTTGGAATGCTGCATACTATACTTTGAACCTACAAGAATGAAGGAAGGGGCCACAAATTATGAGGGCAGGAAAGAGATACAAACAAACCTGCTGATCAACCCTTCCTTGCTAAGAAGTATGTCACTATTAATTTAGGATGTCCTTTGCGAAGGATAAATTTGAGCACCTGTCATTTTATTCCCTTGTTCTCCAGATCCCCTTTAGGTGGTTTTAATGACAAGGCTCTCACATTATCCTCAGGCGCTGTTTGTTTATCAAAGAATTAATTTGAACCCATCCCAGTTAGGTTAAAGTGTTCCACATGCCAATTTACAATCTAGTATTTTTTCAAATTAAAGTGGCTAGATTTCGCCCACTGTGCTACCAAAAATCAAAGAAACTCTACCAACAGAGGAGAATATTTGTAGCTTAAGATTGAACTACAGATAGTCCTTAATTTATGACAATTAAACCCAGGATTTAGTTGCCAAGTCAGAAATTTGTTGAGTTTTGCCCCATATTACGATGTTCCTTGCCACATTTGTTACGTGAATCACTGCAGTTGTTAAATTAGTAACACCGTCATTAAGTGAATCTGGCTTCCCCGTTGATTTGTCAGGCGCTCGCAAAAAGGGATTGCATGACCCCGGGACACTGCAACCATCATAACTATGAATCAGTTATCAAGCATCCAAATGTAAATCACATGACCATGGGGATGCTGCAAAGGTTGTGTGAAAAATGATAAGTCACTTTTTTCAGTGGCATTGTAACTTCGAATGGTCACTAAATAAACCGTGATGACCTGGAGTGTAACACAAACATAACAAAATGCAAAATGCAAATAAATGTCCTTTAATGCCTCCAACTTGTCCCCACTGTTCAATAATTCTCAGTTGGAGATAAAATGTACTCAAAAATAGTCTTCAAAAGAAAGCAATACGGTCTGAACTTAATGAGCAGATAGAGGTGAAATAAAAAACCCAAACAAACTACAATGAAGGAAATTCCACAACTGACCAAGATAAGTAATTACCAAATTCAAGGAGAATAACAAGGCACAGTCTGTTGGAAGGACACCAACCAAGGTAACTTCAACCCAAAATAAAACCCGCTTTGCTTCTGGCAACTCTGTGTTGTAATCATCTCTCTTATAGTCTCCCCAACTGCAACCAATGAGGGGGATCGTGGCCACTTCCTCTCTCGTAAGCCAAGTTGTTCCCTTTTCTGTTCCTCCCTGCGTGTCCAAGGATGAAGAGGGGATGGGCCTGGGTCTTCCTCTGACTGCCCAGCTGGCCTTTGCCCTTCCCCAGCCTCCTCCACAACCTCTGGAGCCACACCTCCACTCCCTGCTGGCTGTTCCTCCTCTCCCTCAGAGTCCGACTCTACCAAAGGCATGACATAAACTGTTGTAAGTCAAGGATTGCCTGTATGGGGTTAGGTGCTCTTTGAGCTTCGATATTTTCTTGTGGACATTTCATTACCCAACTAGCTAACTTCATCAGCGTAAGAAGGGAGTGGGATCTGCTCTGTTTATATATAAGTGGCTATCCCAAAGGTGTTTTTTTTCAGGAGGCAACTGGACTTTCTTGGTTTTTTTCTTTGAAGACGTTTCACTTCTCATCCAAGAAGCTTCTTCAGCTCTGACTGGATAATGGGGAATGGAAGAGCTGAAGAAGCTTCTGGGACGAGAAGCAAAATATCTTCCAAGAAAAAAAACCAAGGAAGTCCTGAAAAAGCACCTTTGGGACAATCGTGACCTGGAAGGCTGGGAATATCTACAGACTTTTGTCCCAAAAATGCTTTTTCAAAAGGCAACTGGACTTCGTTTTTCCTTGAAGACGTTTTGCTTCTCATCCAAATAAGTTTCTTCAGTTCTCCTCTGAACCAACAACTTCAAGGAAAAACAAAGTCCACTTGCCTTTTGGAAAAGGTCCTTCAAGGAAAACATGACCTGAATGACTCAGAATCTCCATAGACATACAAGTGACTAGCACTGATGACGTTACCTAGTTGGGTAATGAAAAGTCTGTAAGAAAGAAATCAAGGTCAGAGAGCATCAAGGACCCTACCCGCCCCCCGCAAAAAACCCTGTATTATGCTTCAGCAGAATGGCTGAATCAATCCAACGGTATCATAAAAGGCCCCAAAATGATTAAAAGATACAATTGTTTTAGTTACAGGGCTAACCAACGCAGGCAAACCACCTTAAGAAGGTGAAGAGGAATTGTTTCTGGCATGTATTTCTTTTCTGTTTCTTGGAATAGGCTAAAAAATATGAAATATGGTACCAGAGATAGCCACCAAAGCTGCAAACAGAATCAAAGTACATCGATAGCACAGAACTGTATTAGAGAACTGTTCTATCTTCACCCTTTCTCCTTCCAAATCATATTGTCCACAAATCCTTGGCAGGCTACAATTCTGGGAGAACCACAACGAAGGTTTATCTTGAAAGTCAGGTATGAAATGTATATAAGTAGTCCTTGACTTACGACCACAAACTGAGCCTAAACTTGCCAAGTGCCACATTTGTTAGGTGAGTTTTCCTCCGTTTTAACACCTTTCTTGCCAAAGTTGTTAAATGGATCGCTGCAGAGTTGTTAAGTGAATCTGGCTTTCCCTCCATTGACCTTGCTTGTCAGAAAGTGACAAAAGTGATCAACCTGCCCACGGGACACAGCAACCGTCATAAATATGAGTCAGTAGCCGAACGGAGGGAATTTTGATCATGTGACCATGGGGATGTTACAATGGTTGTGTGAGAAATGGTCTTAAAAAGAAAGAAATGGACTTCTTTCAGTGCCGTTGTAACTTTGAACGGTCATTAAACGAACTGTTGCAAGTCAAGGACCAACTGACTTGTTGTAAGGTTCATCATCTATCAGACCACAAACTGCCTTGGTATGGCATCTTGAACACCAATTAAACCCTAAACCATTGCAAACCACAATGGCTAAATTCATATATGCTAAACCAAGATCCTACCTAGGGTCCAAACCAGGACCTTCACTTGCAAATCCTATAATTTGTGTTAAACTCTAGTATCTTCATTAAATGTACCATTCTGTGGGGGCAGCTACTCTCCAGCATTCACAAGGGCATCATCATCGTCTTTTAACGACTCCATAATCCTTTGCAGGATGGAGTCTGCACAATTGAATGGAGCTAGCAGAGAGTTTACTGGCCGGATGCTTTCCTGTCACCAATGTGGAGTTTTGTTCAGCAGATATTTTTTCACTGTGCCCAGAGAGAGAAATATCTGCCTCTATGTAGGATCCAGCATTCACAAGGTGCCACTGCAAAAAAAAAACCCACCTTCCACATGTTCTTTCTATAAAGGGATGCTTTCCTTGCTGGGAAGCCATGGTGACCCCCACTGATCTCCTTTCCAGAGTCTACTCCATCCTTCGAAGTACATGCAAACTCTCCCTTTCAGGCTAATTTTAAGGTAACACCAAGGAAGTCCCTCTAAGGTAAACACCATGATGCAAAAATATAGTAAGTAAGCAGCAATAAGGTTTATTAACAGGCCTTACAAAGTAATAAAATACAATCAAGTTTCTGTTGGTCACTTTTTAAGTTCCCAAGTGAGTTGGATTTCATTTGTCTCTTTTAACCTCTGGGCTTTTTTTCCTTTGAAGGTTTAAAACTCTTTGCAGTGAGGTTAGCCAACCTAATTAAGACATTCCAGCCCGCCTGTCTCTCTAATATGTCCCCAAAGGCAAACGGTTAAAAAAACAAAGTTCATCACAGCTGGTGAGAGACAAGTGCAAATGACAACTTTCTCTTTGATTCTGGGTTTCATATATGGCATTTTCAATACTGGCTTTGTAGTTTCAGGGATAACCAGCCCTCCTCCCATCCTCCTAACGCCCAACTCAAAGGTCCTTGCATAAAGACCCTCCCAATGCTCCAAAGCCAACATGGATTTCAACTTTGATCATCATTCCCCCACCTATCCACCCTTCAAGACAGACTGCTGTTCCCTTTTACCTGGTTTTTTTTTTAAAGAAAAAATAAAGAGCTAAAGTGCAGCATCTCGGCAACGGACACGAAAAGGGTTATTTCGAGGTTGGCCAGAGAATTTTCCTTGAGCATTTTTTGCAGGACGGACCCCCAAACCCCCAAGTTTCCACTCGGGGCGTGTAAAGCAATTCTCCCCATCCCCGGTTAAAATTAAAATCCAAATACGTTCAAGGAATAAAATGTCATTTTTCATCCAGTTCCTCCCCAAACATAGCTAATGAGCTGGAAAAAAAAACAAAAAACCAACCAGCTGGGCCCACAACATCCTTGGAGACCCTTTGAATCAAGCATCTTCAAACTTGGCAAGTTTAAGACTTGTGGACTTCAACTCCCAGAATTCCTAAGCTAACATGTCTGCAGGAAGAATTCTGGGAGTTGAAGTCCACAAGTCTTCAAGTTGCCAAGGTTAGAGATCCCTTTGAATCATCAAATTCCCCCCAAATTTGTCTCGGTCCAAAGGCCACACCCGCGGTTCTTAATCACTGTATTCCTCAATCTCCTGTAAAACGGAGCACTTGCACCCTTGTTTCCGTTTCAGATGATGAGGTTTCAAGTACCTTGCCAGGGAAGGTTTTCTGTTCACTTTCCTGGCCAGGGAGGTTGACGAAGGAGTGGCTGTGGACGGCCGGGCGATGGGATGAGTTGGGAAGATGGTCCTGCCTCGAGGGGCCCCCAAAAGCTGCCATATTTCCCCAGAGGCGCTGGCGTTCAAATACTGCCAAGGCTTCTTGCCGCTGCTGTCCCGGACTTGCGTCCGGCAATGTAGCCTCTGCACCAGGATTTTTATGACCAGGGGGTGACTGTGAATGGCCGCTAGGTGCAATGGAGTGTAGCCACAACCGGACCGGACATTGGCGTCCAGGACAACTCCTGCCTCCTGAGCGCCGGCGACAAAGTCCTGCAGCACTTCAGCGTTCCCGTGCTTGGCCAGCCAGTGAAGCACCGTGAAGCCAGAGACGAAGTCCCTGTGGAGCACCAGGTGAGGGTCTTCGCGGAGTAGAGCCCGGACCTGCATCCAGGAGCCTGTGGCAACTTTCACCAGCCAGGTGTGTTCTCGACCGTCCAGAGGCACCGAGGAAGACCTGTGCTCAGCAGGGCCCTCTGGGTGAGGGGCCAGTCTTTCCACGGAGGGGGCATTTACCACAGGTCTCGGTCTGGGGGCCCACTGGGGGCTTAAGGGGGCGTCCAGATTTGGGGACGGTGGCCTGCCCATCTTCCTCGGTTTGAGCAAATCCCTCCCTTCTGTTTTGTCCCTGGTGGCAGCTCTGCCAACCACAAGGTGCAGCAAATCAATGTGAGGAGGGGACTTGCCAGTCTTGGAGTCCTGACTGGACTGGGCGAGGGGCATCCTCACCCCCAATCTATCGCTGTGAGGGGCAACTCCAGGTGCCTCGTGCCCAGCTGAGTTTCCAACGCAGCCGTTCATCCTGCCCGCTTCTTCCCTTTCCCTGGGATGGGAGCCGCTCTCCCTGCTGGCGCTGCTGCCCTCTTCGCTGGCCGAGCTCTCCTGCTCCAGGTAATCTTCAAAATCCTGCAAGGAAAGCCGGCATCGGATGCTGCGGAAGACGGGCACGGGAGAGTCCCGCCAGCCCTCCGAGGACTCCGACGGAGGATCGAAACCCAGCGACCCACAAAGGCGGCTCCGGTCCGAGCTTTGAGACCAGGCTGGGATGGGGCAGGCTTCCTCTCCTTCCAGGGCCTGGCAGGGCTCGGGGGAAGCCGCATGATGGGTAATGATCCAGTCCCGAATCCTTTGCTGGACGCTGCCGGCACCCATTTCTCCGACGGGTAAACTGAGGCCGTTGGCCTGCCGCGCCTTTTCCCGCAGGAGCGGCGGGTCCCGAGCGGCTGGCTCCGCGAGCGGCTGCCGGGGAGCCTTTTTCTCTCTGCCCAGGCAGCCCAAGGTGGGGCTGGCAGGCGGAGGCCGAGATCCGACTCCAGGTGTGGCGGGAAGGCACCTGCCGGCCTTCCTCCTCCGGCCCGCCGCCACTTCGCCACCCGTTTCCCGCCGCGGTTCGGAAATTCCCCGGGGAGAAGCGGTTCCCGGCGCCTTCCCGGCGGCGGCGCCGGCGCGATCCCACCTGGCTGGCTGAGGCGGCGATGGGCCGGCTGGTGCCCGCGGCGACGGCGGCGGTTCAGGCCACGGGCCGTGGTCGGGCGGCGATCTGGACTCCTCCCCGATCAGGTCTCGGTACCGTTTCCTCAGCACCACGTAAGTAGCGCCGCCGGGCCCGTCCTGGCTGACGGTGGCCACGGAGTTGACGAAGCCCTTGAAGAGGTGGCGGCGGTGCTGGAGCTGGGCGGGGGCCGCCCGGGGGTCGCGCAAGAAGCGCTGGAAGTGGCCCAGCAAAGCGGCGTTGGCCACTCGCCCCCCGGCCTGGCAGAGAAAGTCCAGCAGCTCCGCTTGGCTCAGCTCCTGCGCCATGGCTCACCTTCGCCGGCCGCTCCTCTCGCCTCCTTCAAACCATCCCCGCCCCGGGGCGCCCGCCCGCCGGCCGGCCAGCCACGCCCGCCCCGTCCCAGAAACAGAAACCGGCCCAGTCCACCTCCGGCCCAGCGCCGGGCGCTTCTGAGCAAACTTTAGCCCGGGCGCCAGTTTCACCTGCGCTTCTTCGGCGCTCCGCCCACTTTCGCACCTCAGCGCCCCGCCCCTCCCGCACTGAGGCCCCGCCTCCGCTCCCGTCATTGGGAAAAAAAAATTATAATAATGTTGGAAGTTTCAAAGGTGCTTTTTTTTTTTTCCTCAGGAGGCAACTGGACTTTCTTGGTTTTTCTTTTTTCTTGGTTTTTTTCTTGGGTTTTTTTTTGGTTTTTATTTTTTCTTGGTTCCCCACCCCCCACCCTCTGCCCCGCCAGGAGGCAACTGGACTTGCTTCGTTTTTCTTTTTGAAGACGTTTTGTTTCTCATTCCAGAAGCTTCTTCAGTTCTGAGGGGATGGTGGGGGAAGGGAAGGATTGATACTCCTTGCAGACATCTGGACACTTTTACTGTATTCCTGAAAGAAATATCGATCCTTCCACTCGCCCACTATCCTGTCAGAGCTGAAGAAGCTTCTTGGATGAGCAGGGAAACGTCTTTGTGAGGAAAAAACAAAAACCCAAGGAAGTCCAGTTGCCTCCTGAAAAAAAAAAAGAGTCTTTGGAACAACCATGACCTGGATGACTGAGAATCTCTACAGCAGGGTCCCCAAACTTGGCAACTTTAAGACTTGTGGACTTCAACTCCCAGAATTCTCCAGCCAGCTATGCTCTACAGAGGCCTCTGCTCTACAGACTTTTAGTTATACAATTTGGGATGAACACGCTTGGAATGCTGTGGGAGTAGGAATGGATTTCCAGAAGAAAAGAATTGCAGACTACAGGAACTATTTGCATTACTCAGGTGACCCTGAGGATACAGATAAACCTCGGAGTGCTTCAACTACCCTCTAAAAGGATGCAAATGACCAGCTGTCTGCAAGGAATATAACAGAATAATAACAGATTAACAGAGTTGGAAGGGTCCACACACACACACACACACCCAAGCAGGAGACCCTGCACCATTTCTGACAGATGGCATTCCAGTCTCCTCTTGAAAACTTCCTGTGATGAAAAAAAACCTTCCAAAAAACCCTTCCAAAACCTTCCATTCCCCAGTCTCCTGTCAGATCTGAAGAAACTTCTTGGATGAGAACCAAAACTTCTTTAAAAGAGAAAACAAGAAAGTCCAGTTGCCTCCTGAAAAAGCACCTTTGGGACAACCATGACCTGGAGGATTGAGAATCTCTACAGACTAATGTTGGAAGGAAAATTCATCGGGTTCAGTTCCAAGCTGGGAGGAAGACCCTGGAAACAAAATGGAGGCTGACTGGAAAGAAAGTTTATGAATGAGCAGAACCACAAGGGTTTGTGGTTTGGGGGCAGCTGACCAAACGGTTGAATCAGTGGATCAATCTTAATAGGTTTCTGTGTCTTTGAAGTTTGGACTGTTCTGGGGATTGTGCAGTGAAGAGGTTTTTGTGAAATGTGCTGAAACAGTGGTGGGTAATTCTTACTGTGGCTGATGGTTATGCCTGTGTTAGATTTTTGGGGGGTGAAGGGCTGCTTGCTCTAATCCTATCACTCTTGCTTTTGTTAACTATCCAAATTGCTGTAAAGGGGGTTTGAAATATCCTATCTTGAATGGACTTCCGCCGGCAGTATTTGCTTTCTAGATGGTGGGCTTCCTTTTTCAATAAGCTCATTATCTCCTTAAGTGCTGGCATCCGCTATGGGTTATTAAGAAAGACAGGGGACTGCTTTCTGCCTCTAAAAACATGCTTCTCCATTTCTATAATATTATAATAACATATATTCTGCCCCAAAATATTTCATTCTTCTTGGGGGGAGGTCTACCCACACTAACTTCCCTGTGACAGGAAACCCCCCCCCCCACTATTCACCACTATTTCAAAGATTTTTTTAAATTAAATTTCCCTGGCCTGTTTTTTCAGATACAGGTAGTCCTCGGCTTACAATAGTTCATTTAGTGACCGTTTGAAGTTACAACAACACTGAAAAAAGGGACTTGTGACTGTTTTTCACACTTACAACCTTGGTGGCATCCTGAGGGTCACGTGATTGAAATTCAGACACTTGGAAAGCGACTCACATGTATGACCTTTCTTGCCATCATTGTTAAGCGATCGTTGCAGTTGTTTACCTGGTACAGGCAGTCCTCGACTTATAACAGTTCACTCAGTAACCGTTCGAAGTTACAACAGCACTGAAAAAAAATGAATTATGACCCTTTTTCACACTTATGACCATTTCGGCATCCTCGGGGTCACAGGACTGACATTTGGAGGCTCGGCGACTGATTCACATTTACGACGGTGGCAGTGTCCCCAGGATCACGTGATCCCCACTTGCGACCTTCTGGCAAGCAGTGTCATCAAGGAAACTGGATTCGCTTAACAGACGTGTTCCTAATTGAACAACGGCAGGGATTCGCTTAACAAATGTAGCAAGAAAAGTTGTAAGAGGAGAGAAACTCTCTTAACAAATGCTCAGTGGTGGGATTCAAAAATTTTGGGTTCTGTGGGCGTGGCAGGGGAAGGACACTGCAAAATCCCCATTCCCTCACCACCCCACTAACCTGCTTTCCAGCTCTGTTCTCCTGTGCAGGGCAACCAAAGAAGACCCAGCCAATCAACTGGGACTCGGGAGGTGGAGAATAGATGGGGGCGGGGCCAGTCAGAGTTGGGATTTGCTGGTTCTCTGAACTACTCAAAATTTCTGCTACTCGTTCTCCAGAACTGGTCAGAACCTGCTGAATCCCACCTCTGCAAACACCTGGGCACAAACAGATCCCCCCTGATACCTCCAGCTCAAACACACCCCAACCAGGCACCCAGATGAAACCTAGCTTCCTAATAAATGATAGATGTCCATTTACTCGGAGCCAAGCCACACTAAAAGCCTCCAATACAGGAACACAATGTTGCCAGCCAATCAAGGCAAAAAAAAGCCACAAAACAGACAGAAGATATTAGAAACACCAATCAAGCAGAACACAGCAAACTCCAAGACCAATAAACACAGACCAAGACTCCCAACCAATCAGGATGAAGAAAAAACCATTCTGGCACAGCAGTAGGCTAGCCCCAAATTTAAAACTCAAACGGCTGTGAAAGTCTGACTCACAGACAAACACAATACAGAAGCCTGATGATGGCAGATGAAATTCTGCCGAAATGTTGCTACAACTTTAAAAGCACAACTATAATGACGTGGGAAAATACCCGAAAAAAAGCTGAATACCATACATGTAAGTACCCGCGAAAACTTAAGGAATACTATATTGATAGATCGATCGATAGATAGATAGATAGATAGATAGATCATTCAGCTTTGTTCGGGTATTTTCCCACGTCATTGTAGTCGTGCTTATATATATATATGAAACTCTACACAAAGGATAAAAAGAATACATATTCAGAATACAGACTAGTTCTAGAAAGGAAAATAAAAAAGGAAAAAATAACAACTTCTAAATATAATTCCTAAAAAATGAACTTATACTAACAAAATCATATTTATCTTGTACTATCTGTGCATGCACATTAACAAGTGTCCCAATTTTTTATCCAGTGACCAGCAGTCATAAGTGTAAGGAATAGTTATGTGAGTCACTTTTTTCAGTTATGTTGTAACTTTGAACAGTCACTAAATGAATGGTTGTAAGTCAAGGATCACCTGTATTTTGATGGGGGTGGTAGGGTTGCTTCTTTTTCTTTCTCCAGAGTAAAATTTCGGTGTGTCTACCTCAAATGCATTTGGGGAAAGAAGCATAAAACTGCCCCTGTATTGTGCCATTTTAAATTGCACAGAGGAGAGGATTTGCATATTTTTTTCTTCAATTATTCCTAAATAGCAAAAAACTTAGACAAGGTAAGGTGGCTGGAGAGAGGTGAGGAAATGGAAGATTCCCATGAGTAAACATTTACAAGAAACATTTACAAAGGAGTTACACATTAACAACTGGATCTCAAATGCAGGCATTCTAAAACTCTACTCCTTATAACAAACTTATTTCCGGCTCTGTGTGTGTGTGTGTGTGTGTGTGTGTGAAGGAGATTGATGGGCATGTTTTATGTAGAAATAAGTCCCCCTGCTGGATTCTCAGAAACCATAGTTTGCTTATTAAACATAAGCCACTTCCACAACATACTAAATCAGGGTTATCCAAACCTTGCCAGCTTTAACATCTGTGGACTTCAACTTCCAGAATTCCCCAGCCAGCTGATACTTTTTTAAAAAAAAGTAGTGCAGAGCACTATGGATGTCCCACCAGAATACAGGAACCACCCCACAAAAACACACCACAGCCTTTCAAACACAATTTGTGCGAGGCATATTTATTACCTGGATCTCAAATCCCCCACAGGGATGCTGCAGAGAGAATTTGCCAGCAAGAGGTAGCAAAGTTAAAAGCTCATCCTATTGTGTTCTGTGGAAGTTCCATTGTTGGTCTGCATTTTAAGCGGGAGTTTTGTGTGTTCCTATTGGCTGAGCAGCCTGACAGTGAACTATAAAAGGGAGCTGTCAGACGACATCAGCTGTTACCCGTCAGCTGGCCAGTTCAGCAGTATATCGGCTGATGCGGGTAACCCGTTTCTTTGTTACAATAAACACTGATGGTTCGTTAATGCCTGCCTCCGCTCATTCTTACAAAAGACTACAAAATTGGCGATGAGGATGGGATGCCTGTCTGAAAGCTGAAGAAGAACAGAGCCAGAGGTATTGTTGTTCCTTTTTTGTTACCTCAGAAAAGACAAGATGTCGACTGCTCCGACATTCCTGTGTTTTCACCCATCGTCAGAAACTTGGGAATCTTACTTTAATCATTTTGACTGTTTCCTAGATGCTGCTGATTTGTTTGAGATTTCAAGCCATAAGAAAAAAGTGTATTTCCTAAGCTTTT